GCCTTATGCTGGTTTACTGTTTGCACATTGAGAGTCGATGTACCAGAGTCAAATTCCTCGTGTGTCCAACACACCTGGCCAATAAACTGATTCTGATTCTAAATGCATTGTCTGCTGGTTTGTTTTTGTTATCTTCAGTGCAACACGTCTGGTATATGCCACTTAGTATTTAGCACTTAGTACTACTCTCGTGAGTTTGCCGCCTTTTAATATTAATATTTTATTATATTATAATTAATATTTAATATTTTAAAACCATAGAAGGTTAAAAGCGCTGGGCCGACACCAATATAATACAAGCAAAGAGCTACAATTAATAAAATTGATAATGGGTGTGTTAGATTTACAGTACTTGTGCACATGATCATGCATTGACAATATTTAATAGTACTGGCGGCAAAGAGGCGATGGCAGGCCCCCAAATTTTGCTTAGGGCCCCATAAAGATTTGGGCCGGCCGTGAGTTCAGTCATCTGATTCAGAAACCAGATGGGGTTTGTTGTACTTTGATCATAAAGCAAGCCTGTTTACCAGATCTGCCTTCACCAAACTCTAAATTGTAGTGTTCAAATCATATCAGAAGACTTTATTGCCATTTGCTGTACGTACAACAGTAATGCAGGCAAAATGAGATTGCGTTTCTCTGGGGACCAGAATAAAAATAAGCACTAGCTTGCTGCACAGTTAGCGATGTGAGTCAATGATCAGACCTGCTGTCTCTGCTGAATCTCTTGAACACGTAGCTTCTATAATTTATCCTCCATTTTGTCAGCGCCAAGTGTCCTTAAGCATGTCTTACTCTTAACATAAAGGCTGGAAGTTGGGGAAAACTATTAGCATGTTAGCTAACTGTGTTCTCTATGTTTAAGGAAATTAGCTGGCTGCACACTCTTCATTACCGGGGCGAGTCGAGGGATTGGTAAAGCCATTGCTTTGAAAGCTGCCAGAGATGGAGCCAACATTGTCATCGCAGCCAAGACTGCCATACCCCACCCCAAACTACCAGGAACTATCTACACTGCTGCTCAGGAGGGTGAGGAGCTAACAGACTCGCATACACAGAGCATCAAACATAGATTAATCCGCCTCTGAAAGTAGTCCACAGCAAATGTGCCATTTACTTCTGTGTGTTTGATACTGTGAGTAACTGTTTTAGGAAATTAGAGTTTTGTTTTTTTAATGGCTCTGTGCCAGCGATAGCCACAGCCAGAGGCATAATGCTGCTTGGATGGCTGGCTGGCCGGCCGGCCAGGCCCCTCTTTTGTATACGAGATCTCACAGATGCCTTAAAGGAGTTTCTTCAGATTTGGCACAATTGTCCACTTGGACTCAGTGATGGAACTGATTCGATTTAGGTGGTCAAAGGTCAGTCACCTCACTTCTGTCCCAAATCCATGAATTTGACTGGCTGGCAGGGGAATACAACCACTAAGTGGTAATTCTAGCTTTTTAATTTAATTTAATTAAACTAGATATGTGTGTGTGAAGTGTGTTTCGAAAGATTAAGGGAAAACTCTAAATGAGCAGGAACAACTCTCGTTTCTATAAAATGCCGCCCCAGAATTTGTCCAAGGTCAGTGCACCTTCAAAGTTAAGCAGGGGTGTGATGGGGAGCGGAGCTTTGTTTGCGAGCCCTCTTGTCCAGTTGCTGAATTGATAAAATAACCTAATCAATAACATTGTTATTGATTAGGTTGGCTGTGGCATAAAGGTTAGCGGAGCAAGCTTGTGACTGAGCTTGTGTATCCACAGTTTTATCAACTATTTTATTCTTAGGTAATTTTATACTTAGACTAGGTGTTTGGGTTTTTTTTGGGGGGGGGGGGGTTTAAGA